CGTGGTGGTTGTGGTCCTCCGTGTTGTCGTCATGGTCCTCTGTGTGGTTGTCGTGGGTGTTGTGGTCATCCTGTCGGTTGTCGTGGTCCTCCGTGCAGTCGTCGTGGGCGTTGTGGTCCTCTGTGTGGTCATCGTGGTCCTCCGTGTGATCGTCGTGGGCGTTGTGGTCCTCTGTGTGGTCGTGGGAGTTGTGGTCCTCCGTATGGTCGTCGTGGTCCTCCGTGTGGTCGTCGTGGGTGTTGTGGTCCTCTGTGTGGTCGTCATGGTCCTCCGTGTGGTCATCGTGGACGTTGTGGTCCTCTGTGTGGTCGTTGTGGTCCTCCGTGTGGTCGTCGTGGTCCTCCCTGTGGTTGTCATAGACCTCCGTGTAGTCGTTGTGGGCGTTGTGGTCCTCTGTGTGGTCGTCGTGGTGGTTGTGGTCCTCCGTGTTGTCATCGTGGTCCTCCGTGTGGTTGTCGTGGGTGTTGTGGTCATCCTATCTGTTGTCGTGGTCCTCCGTGTGGTCGTCGTGGGCGTTGTGGTCCTCTGTGTGGTCATCGTGGTCCTCCGTGTGATCGTCGTGGGCATTGTGGTCCTCCGTGTTGTCATCATGGTCGTCGTGGTCCTCCGTGTGGTCATTGTGGTCATCCGTGTGGTTGTCGTGGTCCTCTGTGTGGTTGTCGTTGTCCTCCGTGTGGTCGTCGTGGTCCTCCGTGTGGTCGTCGTGGGTGTTGTGGTTGTCTGTGTGGTTGTTGTGGTCCTCCGTGTGGTCATCGTGGTCCTCCGTATGGTCATCGTGGGTGTTGTGGTCCTCCGTGTGGTCGTCGTGGTGGTTGTGGTCCTCCGTGTGGTCGTCGTGGGCATTGTGGTCCTCCGTGTGCTCGTCGTGGTGGTTGTGGTCCTCTGTGTGGTCGTCGTGGGTGTTGTGGTCCTCCGTGTGGTCGTCGTGGGCGTTGTGGTCCTCTGTGTGGTCATCGTGGTCCTCCGTGTGGTCGTTGTGGGCACTGTGGTCCTCCGTGTCGTCATCATGGTCGTCGTGGTCCTCCATGTGATCGTTGTGCTCATCCGTGTGGTTGTCGTGGTCCTCCGTGTGGTTGTTGTGGTCCTCCGTGTGGTCGTCGTGTGTGTTGTGGTCCTCTGTGTGGTCATCGTGGTCCTCCGTGTGGTCATCGTGGGCGTTGTGGTCCTCTGTGTGGTCGTCGTGGTGGTTGTGGTCCTCCGTGTGGTCGTCGTGGGCATTGTGGTCCTCCGTGTGGTCATCGTGGTGGTTGTGGTCCTCCGTGTGGTCGTCGTGGGTGTTGTAGTCCTCCGTGTGGTCGTCGTGGTCCTCTGTGTGGTCGTTGTGGGCGTTGTGGTCCTCCGTGTTGTCGTCGTGGTCCACTGTGTGGTTGTCATGGGCATTGTGGTCCTCCGTGTGCCTTCCCCCCCTCCCCCAGCCTTAGAGCTGAGGGAAGACCTGGCCAGCCCTGTTGGGGGCTAGGGGCCTCACACTCCCAGGCCAGGCTGGGGTTCGGGAAGGGGCCTGCTCCGTGCCCTCGGGCCCTGTGCAGAAGATGCCAGCCTGAGCCACAGAGGTGAAGAAGCTGCGAGTCTCATGCTCACCCCTGTCTGCTTTTCTAGGTGCTCTGGCCCTGGGATTTATTCACCATGCAAGGACCAGACACTCACACAAGTCACACTAACACCAAACACACACTCAGTCACACTAAGACAGGGCCCGAGGGCACTGAGCAGAGGACGGGCTGGAGCTCAGGCGTAGAGGCAGGAAGGCCAGCAGAGGCCTCTGCCTCACCCTGGAGAGCACCCCGAGAGGCTGAAAAGGCCCAGAGTCTCATGCTCATCCCCTATCTGCTTCCCAAGGCTCCCTGACCCACTGATTTATTTCGAATGACAGCCTGATGAAATGCGTCCTTCTATTTCATTTGGGGTCCAGGTTCCTGCCTTGAGCATGGCCTCCAAGTGACTGTCACATTGTGACAGCTTCCTCAAGAGGGCAACAACTGAAAAGGTCAGAGCAGGAAATGCTGAGTTAAGCTGCCAGCGGATGTGTGGCAGGCACCTGTAACCCCGGCCTGGCCGCCGTGGGGGAGGCACGATGACTGATATCTGCCCCTGCAGTTTGACATGCTGTTGCGACACCATGGCCTGTGTGTGTCCAGGGGGCATAATCAGAGAAATGAAGCTGTCAGGTCGGCTACACGGCTCGGTGCTTTAAAACAGAAGCAGGACAAGAGCCTATTTGTGTGGGGGTCTGTTGCCCACCTCCAGCCTCTCACTGCAGGTCGGTGCAGAAGACAGGAGGAGTCGGAGAGCTGTGGCCCACAGCTGGTTCAGCTGGAGATGCTTTTCATCCTTGATGATTTCACCATGCCCTCCACACATGGCCTCAGCATTGGGGCGGGGGGCACCATGGTGATGGGAATATTAGTACCACTACTCCTGCTTAAGGCTGACCAGCTTCTAGATCCTGTGCCAGTCCTTGTAAAATCCCCCAGCCTTACCTCTCACATCTGCTAGTGGGTGTTGTTATTTCTACTTCTTGGAGAGAGAGAGGGGAGCTCGCAGATGTTCGGTAGTTTGCTCCAGGTTGCACGTCCCTGGGCAGCACAGCCAGATGTGAACACAGTTCTGTCTGACCCCATGGTCTGTTGCACTATGGCCTCATAGTTAAGAGCACAGAGGCCAGACCCAGCCTCTGGGTCTGCATCTGGCTGATCCAGCTGAGTGCTGTTAGCAGTGGAAGAAATGTGCTTATCCATTCACCTTCACTATACCAATCCCCACGATAAGATATATAAGCCAGCACACACAGAGCTCATTACAAAGAGGGGGTTTCTGTCACAGAAGTCACTGAATAGGAGTCCTCACCAGACTGACACAGGGACCCCTGGAGGGGGAGAAGTCACCCTTGTGAAGTTCCAGATGTCAGAGAGAGGAGTTCCCCATATAACCAGTGGATGAGATGTTAGCTGTATTTGTATGGACGCCTTTTGTCTGGCTATGTTCCTAGTATGATGGTGGCCATTGAACTGTGTCCAATGCTTTAGTCATCCATGGAGATAATCATGTTTCTCTTCTACACGCTGCTGATGTGGTAAGTTACACTGATATTTTAAATACTGAATCAGACTTGTATTGTAGGGGTGGTCCCTAATTAGTCTTGATGTCCTGTCTCTTTATATATTCTCAGATTTCATTTTACAGTGTTCTGTTGAAGGTTATTAAACATATTTTTTCCTTGTTGTGTATTAAACTTTTGGCTTTGAGTTTTAAAAAGTAATGACACTAATCTTATTGTGGTCATCATTTCATGATATATCCATGTCAAATCATTATGTGTAATACCTTAAACTTATACACAGGTATATGTCAATTATATCCCCATAATAATGGGGAAGCAGTCATAAGCACATCATCACACCACAACCCTTGCTTGACATGCACACTCCAGTCAATCATAGCTGTACTTATATGCCCCATGCACACTCATATGTCCAAAATATTTCTGTACAACCACGTTACATGCACATACCATACTCTGAAACACACACACACTACCCACATACCAAATATTCACACACCTCACATCACACACACACACTCACACACACACACACACACACACACAGAGCATGTTCTGTCTAGAACAGTGACTATAGCTCTTACCTCCTACACAGACAAAATAACTCTCCCCAGCCATAACTTCATGACAGGAATTTACCACCAGCTAGAATAGAGAGAGGGGTGGCAGGTCAGGGAGAGTGAATGGGGGGGGACATGGTGAGAAGCCACCCCATTCCCCTTCTCACATTTAGTCCACACTCACCAAGTTAACAATGTCTTCTAGTGACTTGAATCCATTGTTTACACCATACATTTGATCCTTTCTTTCTACGATGTCATTCAGCTACAAGAAAGAAGGGGTGCCTTGGGCCCACGGCCAGGAGTTGTGGACACAGAAGTCCCCATCCCAGGAGACAGTCTCTTCCCTCATGCCATGTTGGACTCCAAGGTCCAGGCCTTAGCATTGGCCAGCAGCCCACCCTTAGGGAAGGGAAAGCCCTTCCACCTGCACCTCTGGTGGCAGGTTTTACACACTTGTCATTCATTTCTGGAGTGGCTATCTGCTGTCCAGACACTACAGGTGAGTTAGAGGAGCAAACTTAGGAAAGCTGCCTGTGAATGCTTTCCCCATCTAGGCTCACAAGGGGCACCTGGTTATCTGTTCTGAATTACCTGATCTTTCCTATAGTCTTTTACACCCATGCAATAAACTTTGGCACCCATATATCTTGAGCCTTCTCAGCCTAAGAGAAAGAACCCTTTGAGTATAAACTACCAAATACATGGAACAAAATGTTGGTAACAATGGGTTGGACTCACTTTGGACTTAGTCTCCTGACATGCCTTTGGTGTCAGTGGTCCTGTGGTCAGAGCAATAATCAGACTAGCATTGTTGCCTGTAGGGGAAATAGGGAGTGACCCCATTGGTAAAGGCACACAAAGTGACTCTCTTTGCAGGCTGCCAGGGCTACAACACTGCTCCCCGTACCTCCTTCTCCAAGGGAGAAGTACCCAGACCTCAGCACCTGCCATCATGAGCACCTGGAGGACTAGCAGGTCAGTTCTGGAGGGAGAAGGAGCCTTAGCCAGGATGTTAGACGAAGATGGTTTTGGGTAGAGCATAGCCTTTTCCATTGCTGGAGACACAGTCACAGGATGACATCAGCCAAAGGGAAGGAACAGAAGGGAAAGGAGCCAGGGCCAGAAATGTGATGGAGACAAAGTGGGCAGCCAGGGGTAAATCCAGCACTTTTTTCTGAAAACGGAATCTTGTCTGCTCTAGGTCCCCTGGCTTTTCTGTTTTCTTGTTCAGGCAGCCCAAGTGTAGTTCAAGCACCTCTCAGTTACCAAGAACCTAGAAGGTCCATGCATGGCCCCATGTTGTTCTGAGACACATCACTGGGGGTGGTTTTCATCCTCACTGCACAGAGGAGGGGCCCATGGCCCAGAAAGGACAGCACCTTGCTCCAAGAGTCCGTGCTAAGAAGGGGCCAATAGGGTCTGCACTAGACCTCCCTGAGGCCCAGGCCTGGCTCTGTCCCCAGACCTGCCCACAGTGAAGTCACCAGGCAGCTTACCTCCAGAGTTTGCTTGTTTAATCTGTTCATTTGCCTGCAAGGAAATGAAGGAATGTTGGGGGAGGGCAGTGAGAGGACCCAGGATTACTCTAAGAACCCATAACGCAGAAGTCCTCAGAGCTCTAGATTCAGTACATTTTTAAATCCTTCATGCATATTTGTGGCTCCAGTAGGCTTTATATTCTTAAGTCTGCTAAGACTATTATGTATTTTGTTTCTAAATAAAAATCAGAGGAGGTTGAGGTACAATTTGGGGTTGATATTAAAAGTAGCTCTAGTATTATGCTGAGTGAAATAAGTCAGAGAAAGACAAGTATCATATGATCTCACTGATATGAGGAATTCTTAATCTCAGGAAACAAACTGAGGGTTGCTGGAGTGGTGGGGGGTGGGAGGGATGGGGTGGTTGGGTGACAGACATTGGGGAGGGTATGTGCTATGGTGAGCGCTGTGAATTGTGTAAAAGACTGTTGAATCACAGACCTGTACCTCTGAAACAAATAGTACATTATATGTTAAAAAAAAAAAAAGAAGATAGCAGGAAGGGAAAAATGAATGGGGGCAAATTGGAGGGGAGATGAACCATGAGAGACTATGGACTCTGAGAAATAAACTGAGGGTTCTAGAGGGGAGGGGGGTGGGGGGATGGGTTAGCCTGGTGATGGGTATAAAAGAGGGCATGTACTGCATGGAGCACTGGGTGTTATATGCAAACAATGAACCATGGATCACTACATCAAAAACTAATGATGTAATGTATGGTGATTAACATAACATAATAAAGTTAAAAAAATGGCATCATAGTATAAAAAAAAAAAAGTAGTTCTAGTCCTGGAGCCACCGTGCAGTGTGTAGGCCTGTCTGGCTGGGACAGGACACTTGTGACCTTCTGCCCTCTGTGCTTGATATTGACAGGCTTCACTCAGGCCTCCTCTGTGCCCCATCAGGTGAGCATAGGGTGGGAATGCTGCTTTGCTGGTCCCATGGGTATGGCCTGGCTTTCTTGTCACTGTCTCAGGACCCCAAGGCCCTGCCTTGACCATCCACGGTGAACATGGGGCACACCCATGGATGTACCACTGTGAATCCCCACTCACAATGTGACTGGCAGGGTTGCTAGGAGCTACCGGGTCCCCCAGGAAGGCACACTATCCTCCAATAGGTAAGGCTGAATTTGGAAAAGGTCATCCTGCTGATTGATACTCCTGCCCTGTCCCATCCTCCCCTGCCACAGGCCCCCAAGGTTGACTCAGTCCCCCCAAGCTTATTCCCCTTCTCGACTGGTGCTAAAGGGACTAGCAAGCTGCTTCATGAGAGCGCTAGAGCTCCTGAGTTCATGTGCTCCTGAAGAAAAAGGCCAAAGGCTGGGAAGTGGCCCTGAGGGCTGTTCATGCAGGTGGATGAGGAGTGATCCCGCTGTGAAGGCAGATTTCACGGGTGGGAATGGGACACAAAAGGGGCTGGGGACTTAGGTCCAGGCCAATCCCATGTGACGAGCTGAGCTGGCACAGCCAAGCTAGGAGAGCGTGGACCCTGAGAAGGCTTATCACTGTGGGTAGTGGAGATGTTGCTGTGGGGGGAGACCTGAGAGCCCTGGGTCCAGTCCAGCCCAGCCCAGCCCAGGAGGAGAGGCCTGGGACCTGTGGCCAGTGGAGGCCAAACCAGGCACTGCCCAGCCCAGCAGAAGCACTCTCCTTCTTCTTGCCACATTTTGGAAAATTTTTGTTTTTTTGACTGGACCCTCAAATATGGGGGAACTCTCATCCCTTTTTAGTCTCTGGCCTAGGAGGCCCCTGGCCAGGCATATGCTTGTTTGCTCCAATGCCCCCAAGGAAGTGCTGCCTCTCCAGTCCTACTCCTAAGCTCTGAACTTGGAAGGAATACAGGCTCCTGTCACCCTCAGCTAGACTCCTCTTAAAATATTACTCCCTCACAAAAACATAATTCCACATCTTTCCATTCCCCTGGGTACCACTCCCACTCCTGAACCCTCGCTTGTGGAAGACGTCACTATGTTCCCTGTCCAGAGACATCCGGGAGGCCCTCCCTGAGCCCCCACACAGCTTCTCACAACTGGGCCCTGAGACTCCCACCTTGGAGAAAGCAGAGGTCTTCCTCTCCCCAAGGGGAGCTCCTCCACAAGAGCCCCCTGCCCAGCAGCCTTGCATCTCTCTGCCACCTGCCAGCGTCACCCCCAATGGACTTGCTTCCTTCCACCTCATATGCACTCAGGTCTCTCTGTCCTAAACACATAACCACACATATGCACAAATCCGTGCCTCCACTAGTCCTTGGAGCAACCAGCCCCCTCCCTGCTTGTCCTGGAGTCAGGCATGAGAGTGCTGCCTCCATGCACTGACATCTCCACTCTGCTGCTCCTGGCTTCTCTCCATGGTTCTGAATGGCAGCTCTGTGCTACAAATCCTGGGGCCCACCTCATCCTAAGGGTGCTTAATCTCTCTTTGATGCTTCACCCTCTCTAAATTAGGTTTCAGTCATTTGTGTCCATGAGAATCTTAACCTCCATAATTTCCCACTTTCAGACCTTTGGGCAAACTGCTGGGCCCACCATGGTCCACCTAGGATGCAGGCATGTCATGCCTTCCTCAAACGCCCTATCCCAGCCTTGTGTTCAGAACCCCATTCATGGGCTCCCTTGTCTCAGACCTACCAAGGGAGCAAAATCCCCTCCACTGAAAACATCAATACTTCAATGCTGCCCACCCCTTCCTCCCTGGGACTGATCTGTCTCCCATCCACCCCTCCTCCCACACTGGACCAGGGCAGAGAGTGACACACAACACAGGTCACTGTTCATAAAGGACCTTCCCATGTGCTCCATACAATCCTGGGAGTCCTCACACATAGCCCATTCTGAGAAAATCAAAGAGTGTGGAGGGAAGAACTCAGGCCAGCTGTAGGTCAGGGCTTAGAGGGGCAGAGATGGTCTAGCAGCATGTAGTCTGCCAGTGTCAGTGCAGCCAGGGCTCAGAGAGGGCTAGGGAGCCAGATCTGGGGATCAGGGTGCACAATGAGTGGAGGTCAAGCCAGCCCAGCCTGCACTCCATTGGCCTTCCCAATGTGGCTTCAGGGAACTCTTCAGCTTCCTGGCTCTCCCTGAGACTCAGCTCTTCCATGTCTGCCAGGGGGGATCAAATCAGTGCTTACCTGTCTGAGGTGAGTTTCATAAGGGTGTGGCCCTGTGTGGAGTAGGTGATGAAGGACATCTGCACTTTTCAAGCTGGGGAGGGAGCACGTGCTTGTGAGAAGCCATCAACACAGGCTTAAAAGGATGCCAACAAAGCTCAAAAAAACAGGGCTCACTGCAGCCAGTGAGGGGGGTCTATGTCATTTTCCACACTTTCCACTACAACTCTTCTACTTTCAGGCTCATTTCCCAAACACTGGAAGTTCCCATAAAGGTAGTGAAAAATTTTGAGGCCTGTAAGATGTGTGACCTCCTTAGAATAGAAAGCCAAGATGGCATCCTGCTCCATTCTTAAATTCTTAAAGAATGCATTCCAAAAGACACACACACACACACACACACAGAAACACACACAGAGGCATATGCACAGTACATCACAAGGAAATAAACACCTTCACATTCCTGTATGAGGGGCTCACCCCTGGCCTCTCTTCTACTGTAACATTCTTTGGACCGTCATTCCCTTCCCTCCTAAATCCTTCCTCACCTCCTTCTCTTGTCAAAAAAAATATTCTCTTTCTTGGCAGCCATTTATATGTATCCCTTCCTTTCCATCCTCTGGCTACTGTCTTCTGGTCTGCTGACCCTCAGTATCATTGAGATAAATTTTTACAATAGGTCCCTAGCTGAGTTCTTTGCTCTTGGCTCTTGCTCCAACTCATTTTATCCACTTATTAACAGATTTCTTTTCCTGAAGCACATCCTTAATCATGTGAGACCCCTACTCAAGAATCCTATACCCCTTTATAGCTCCCAGTAGGAAATTCAAGCCCTGTGGCCTGGCATTAAGAGCCCATATATTATTGGCTCCAAGTTGACTTGTCCAGCCTCATCTCCCAGTCTTATCCTGACTAAACCCACTCTACCACCAAACAGACCATTCACTCCACAAGAAGTCTCTTTGATGGTTCCTGTTACCCTGTCTTTCCCCATTCTTCAAGGCCTAGTTCAAATTTCCACATCTTCTAGGTAATTATCCTTGACTTTTTCTCTAGGAATTCTTGTTTTTCCCTTTTTGCTATGCAAGACTTTTGTCCCATCCTCTTGGCCACTGGTATCATTTAACCAGATGTCCAGTTACTGAGTTACTGGTCAGCATGCTTTAACTTCCTTTCCAAGCTGGTAAGGTTCTCAGAAGCAGACTGTGTTCCCTTTAATGTGGCCTGACTCTCAGGCAAGAGTCAGCAAAAACTGCTGAGAACCAATGGGACAATTTGACTTTCCTTCTTTCCTGCTTCAGAACACCACTGTGGGCACTGTGCTTCTGGCCTGAGGGACTCCCATGCCCACTGAATCTAAGCAGCTGTGTATCTTCCTGGCAGAGGAAAACACCCTGCAGCATGGAGAGCCTTACTTTGGAAACTTCTTCACCACATCATCCACAAATGTGTAAATGTCCTTCCAATCGTTGTTCATGCTGTCTGACCTGAAAACAAAGACTTGAGTCAGAGGGATGAGGCATATACATTGGGTGGGAAGTTTCTGCCCCCTACCTCCCATAGTCCCTTTAGCAAGCTCCTCCTTATCCCACATAACTGAAGTCTGCCACACACCCTTGGTGACCTCTGTGGGTCACTCTGGTGGTGACTTTCAACAGTGTGAATGGTGGGAAGGTTGAATAACCAGACCCATATGCTTGGGACCAAGTGACTTCCAGGGAGGAAGGACTTTGAGTGGCAAACCAGGATGGTTGGTTTGGTTATGGTAGGTGGTTATGGTAGGTGGACAAGAAATGAAGGAGGATGCATTTGTTGGAAAACACATTTTGATTCTGATATGTTGGCTCTCTTAGTCCCCCACTTTCCTTTGGGGTAGCCATTAACAGCTGTCTGCTCCTCTTCTACTCTTTAAATATATATAGTGGGGTGCAAGACAGGGCTTTTGGCACCACATTCCATTATATACCTCTTGGAAGCAACAGATGCAGCCTCAGAGAGTGACCCAAGCCAGTCCTGTATTCCTCTGGTGAACTCTGGATTCTTGGGTATCAGACTATCCTGACATACCTCCTTAGGTTGGGATCCATTTGTAAGCCTAAGTCTGACCTGCCAACCATCCCTCATGACACACACAAATTCTGCTCACACCTTCATGTTTTCCAGCACTCACAGAGCAGGAAGAGACATTCCCAATAGGAGCCTGCACCTCAGGTCTGGAAGAATGTGCTACTCAGACTATTTTATTTCCCTTCATCCTTCAAAGCTGAGCCACTCTAGACATGAAAGGCCTATTCCAGCACCACTGAAAGGGGAGAGATAGGAACAGACCTGGGACACTGATGTTCTGTTGCCATCATGCCCTGATCAGCAAGGAAAGCCACAGATCCTTCCTCTCCCTATTTTTAGTTTCTTACTCATTGGCTCTCACTTTAGTTCCTGGATGGTGAAGATGCTGAAGGGGGCTGGAGTCTTATGATGTCCCCTTCTGTCTAGATGGGAAGCCCTTAAATATGCCCTACCAGTCCAGGATTCAAAGATCTTTGCAATCCAACATCTCTATAGTTCTGTACTAATTCAAGTTTATGATTTGCACATGTGAGGTTCACTAAGTGTCTTGGTCAAGATCCTGCTGATGTTAAGGGGTGAAACAGTCTGATGCCCTAGCCTGGACTCTTTTTCTGGATCTATGACAGTTCATGTCTTTCCTATCTCATATGAATTTGAGGAACCCACAAAGAGGCCCTTCCTCTTTCCTCCAGTGATGACTATGTCAATAAACATCCTAAATGTCATGTTTATATGTGTGATTCTCACATACCCAAGAGCATCCTTCTCCTCTCTACCATTCTTACTGCCTCCTCTAAGTTTCATCCAAAATTATCAACAGATGGTGAGGAAACTAAGGATAGATGATTCCAACTATGTCAGGATTATCATTCATGGAGCACATATATATGAAGCACTCTTTATGCATGATTTCCAATTCTGAATCAACCCAATGATATTAGCATTATTCCCATTTTACAGATGAAAAAATAGGCTCTCACAGGTCAAGGAATTTGGCACAATTTTCATGGGTAGCATGGATCTGAACCCAAATCTAGCTGTAAATCCCATGCTCTCCCCATTGGACTTGGGGGACTGGGGTGATACTGCTGTGCCAACAATTGCTAGGAGTATATCAGTAGACTCTGACAACTTACCCACAATACCGACTTTCTCACAGAAGGGCCATGCTAAATTGCAAGGAAGACAATTCCTTTCTTAACTAATGGTAACACTTCCCACTTTCCTTCTCATTACTACTCTCCCCTGCTTTCTCCCAGAGTGAAGAGGATCTTCCAAAGAAGATTCACAGGAAACAAGAGTCTTCAACCCACCTACCTGCCCTAGGACAGTTTCTAGCTTATAATTATTTGAAGGAATGTCTAGCCTCTAGAACACAGAAGAATGTGAGTGCTTGTGGGCAGTGGGAAAAACCACAGGGACCTACAGGTCCTTAGGAGAGAGGCAGTATGGAACATGAGTATGGAACAACCACATGGAGTTCCAGCACACAGAGCTCCAATCATGTTTTAGCATCCCACACTTAAATGAGAACAGAGAGATGGGAATCACCAGACATTTGAGGGCATCTCTACTGTTGAAGCTTGAGTCCAAAATATCTTAGTGATATCACTATGCTGGGGGAATGGAAAAGGTGGGGAAGATTCATGTAGGACAGCTGAACTATAAGAAAGCTAAATTCTCTTCTTTCATAGTCAGAAGTCAATAGAAAATGAGTAAACCTCAAACAGCAAGAAGCAGCAAATGTATTAGCATGTTATTATAAATTAAATTATTTATAACTAATTAATTAACTAAATTAATTTAATTAATTAAATTAACTAAATTAAATTGATTTCTAATTAAAATGAGAAAAATCTGGAAGATTTGTAATGGCTGTTTCTGAGAATGGGATCAAATGTGGGGAGGAGGGATGCAGGATCCTCAAGTTTTTGTTGTGAAGTTTGCAATATGTTTGGTTTTAAATTTATGTTCAAGAATTTCTTGACAAATGAAAAAAATGAAAGTACAAACAAAAACTAGTAGCATGGAGGATGTCAACAAAATGGCAGATTCTGAAACTCCAAGCCTTCTTAGCCAGTAGTAACATCATAAAAAAACAACAGAAGCTTTCTGTACCAACTTTCTGCTCTGTAGGAGCTCTACAAAATAATCAAAGGTTTATAGCAATAAAATAAATGCCCAATCAAGAAACAGCCGTCTTCAAAATGATAGGTAAGTTTTGTGGCATTTTTAATCACCCTGCCCTCACTCTCCTTCTAGCCTGGTGGCAGTTTTGGTCTTGATTAATAGCCCAGTTCCAAGCTCTCCTTGAACCAGAGAAAGCAGTGTAGACCTTACTTATAATTATTGTGTACATCTCTTCTAACCTGTCTGGGTCAATCTGACCCCTGGCTGGGGTCAGAGGGTTCAAAAAGAGTTGTGGACACAGGTACATTTAAAAAGCCACAGGTGCAGTCAGTTGAGTGTCTAACTCTTGGTTTTGGCTCAGGTCATGATCTCAGGGTTGTGAGATCAAGCCCTGCACTGAGTTCTGCACTCAGCATGGAATTTGCTTGAGTTTCTCTCTCCCTCTCCCTCTGCTCCGCCCCCACTGTGGTCTCTCCATCTCTCCTTCTCTCTCTTAAATAAATAATCTTAAAAAAAATAAAGTATAGAATTGTTGAATCACTATATTGTACACCTGCATCTAATATAACACTGTATGTTAACTATACTGGAACTAAATTTTTTTAAAATCCAAGATTAGATAAAATATATAAACCAACAAGTCCAAGAACTTTGACTAACTTCAATTGTGATAAACTAAAGACCCATTCTAAGACACATTATAATAAAACTGTTGAAAGACAAAGACAACATGAGAATCCTGAGCAGGAAGAAAAACTTGTAACATACAAGTAGTCTTCAGTAAGGTTGTTTCTCATCAGAAACCTGTGAGGCCAGAAGGTAGCAGAGGAAATATTTAGAGTGCTGAAAGAAAAAAAAGTCAAGTGAGAATGCCAGATTCTATAAAACTCCTTCATAGGTGAGGGAGAAATTTAGACATTCACAGATAAACAAAAGCTAAGGGAGTTCATTTCCATTGAATCTGTCCCACACTTATGGTTAAAGGAGTCATACAAATTAAAATAGGACACTAAACAATAACTTGAAGTTATATGAACATAAATAGATCAAGATTTATCTTTCTGGTAAAGATAAATACAAGAGCAAATATAAAAGCTAACATTATTATAATCTTGGTTTGTAACTGAACATTTATTCTCTACAGAATTCAAAAGAAATGCATTAAAGTCATGATAAATCTATGTTATTGGGCACACAATGTGTAAAGATGCAATTTGTGACATTGACACAAGGGGGGGGTTGCAGCAGTAAAGAATCAGAGTTCTTGTGTGTGATTAAAGTTAAGATGGCATTAATTATAATTAGGTTGTTACAGCTTTAGCACATTATAGTTAATGCTCATGTAATCATAGAGAAAATATCTATAATAGAATATTCACAAAGGAAATAAGAAGGGAATCCAAAATTGATTATTTTATTTTATAGTAATAAGTTTTGGTTCCCTTCTCAGAAGTAGGCAGAAAAGGAGAAAATAAGAAGCAAAAATCTAGAAAACATACATAAAGTAAATAGCAAAATGGCAGAAGTAAGTCCTTCTATATAATAATTATTTTAAATGTAAATGGATTAAACTATCCAGACCAAAGGGATAGGTTGGCAGAATAGATGAAAGAAAGATCTAAGTATATGCTGTCTACAAGAGATTCACTTTAGATGTAAGGACACAAACAGGTTGAAAGTGAAAGTACAGAAAGATATTCAAGGCAAACAGAAACCCAAAGAGAGCTAGAATAACTATATTAGACAAAAGAGACATTAAGTAAGAAACTGTTATAAATGGCAAAGAAGGGCATTATATATTCATAAAACGGTAAAATAATCAAGAAAATAAAACATTTATAAACAGATATGCACAAAACATCAGAGCTCCAAAAGTTATGAGGCTAACATTGACAGAACTTAAGAGGGAATTAGAAATCTCTACAATAAAGGTTGAAGACTTCAATATTCTACTTTCAATAATGGAAAAGAGATGGGAAATCCAGATTCAAGAGGTGCAATGCACTCCTAATAGATTAAGCCTAAAAAGGGCTGCACAAAGACAAAGAGAGAATTCTGAAAGTAGCAAGAGAAAAACGTAGTCACATACAAGGGAACCTACCATAAAACTGTCAGAAGATGTCTCAACAGAAACTTTGCAAGTCAGGAGAGAATAAAATGACATATTCAAAATAATGAAAGAAAAAATTGTCAACCAGAATACTATACTGAATAATGCTGTTTGTCAGAAATGAAATGTGATAAAGACTTTCCTGAATAACAACAAAAGAAGGTAAGGAAGTTCATCATT